TGCAAGATTATGCCTGAAATCGCTCAAGAAGACACACCTCCAACAGCTCTACCCGGGTACCCCTTTGTGGGTTTTCGAAATGGGGCTGCTGGGGTATTTAAAAACCCTACCGTCGATGTTTACCCAGGTACACTCCTCCCTACCCGGGTAAATAATTCAACCATTTTCTCAGATTCAAGAACTCCACCCGGGTACACCCCTCCCTACCCGGGTAGCAAAAATGTTTCAAAAAATACCCGGGTAAGTAAGGGTGTACCCGGGTAGGCTTCGTGGTCAACAGTCAAACAGTGGCAGATTGGTGTTATGTTTTTGAAGGGGTTAAATTTTCAAAATAGTTTTAAATGAAAGGAAATTTGATAATTAATTATTAATTAAGGGTCAAAAGGGTCAAAAAGCCCAAGATTTAAGGATCATAATTCTTTGAGTCTAATTGGGTTGTTAAATATGGGGCTAAACTTAACTTGTCTATTTTGGTCCACAACTTAACATGGGTTTGGTAGGGTAATCCACTAATCTATAGGTTGATTTTTTGGAATTATAATTTATTTATTTTTTTAAGAAAAAAAGGATGAATTAGGATTATTGTTTTAAAATTTAGATTGGACATTAACCAATGAATCTATTGGTTCAAGACTAGATTAGTTAAATTGATTTGCAAAAAAGTAATTATTATTATTTCAAAAATATATACCTGTGTACAAATTAAGGATGATCATTTCCATCATAATTTGTCACAAAATTTGAAGTATAAAACGATGGTCATCATCCAATCTTAAGTTTTAAAGTTATAATGTGATAACTGTAAGGTTCAATTTACCGAATTCACACATCAGAATTTTAATTTCAATAAGCAACGATGTTTGTTGGAGTCAACATTGAAAAAAGAAAGAAAGAAAGAAAGAAAAAGCATAAGGTATTTTAAGTTTTCATCTTTTTTATTTTAAAACGTAATTTGTTCAATAAAAAATCTCCTTTAAGCCAGTGTTTAAAAATTTGGCCCGATCATAGACTGGATTGAGATCAGGGGGCAAAGGGTCATGGGTTCAACTGAGGGTCACGGGATCATTTTGCTGACCTGATTTTATACATTAAAAAAATAAATATATATCCTATATGAAAATTTCAAAAAAATCAAATCATTAATCTTCAAAAATTCAAAATATACTTAACATAATTGAACTAATTAAATTCACAAGTCAATATTACACAAGCTAATGAAAGTATCAAACTATCAAGTATAAAACACATATTCCAATCGAATTAATAAAAAATTATATCATCAAATTCAGGTTCTTCTTGTCCTTCTCACGCACTTACAATGGTATGTGAAAGGAGACCCCTTACCCAAAAAAAAACGACGAAAGAGAGGCGGCGGTACGAAGAATCAATGGTGGAAAGAGAAGATCGGGATGAGGCAGGATTTTAAAACACTGCTTTAAGCGATTATTAAAGTATCATTACATAAAACATTTAGCATTTTTTTTTAGAATTTTATACAAATAAAATTTTGTTAAAAAAAATTTATTAAATTAAATATATATAATCATTGGAGATGATAAAATGTTATATGACGATAAATAAATATTAAAGAAAAAATATGAACCTGCCTAATAAAATAAGGTCACCAACCGTGGCAATACAATTGCCATTGCAATCATTGTCAAATAAATTCATTGTAGATGTCATTCCATACCTCTCGTTTATGTGATATTTTGCTAAATGGCAGCTTCATGAAATTTAAATGGTGGGACCTAACCTTTCAATCACTTTTCACTTAAGCAAGGGAATGGTCCCAATCGAAAAAGGTTATACCATATGCGAATAAACGGGGCATGGACGATTCATTCATCATTTATATCGTATGTAAGCCCTTATCTTTGTCATTCATAAGCATCTGATGCAGCTTCAGCTTCAACGTCACGATAAATTTTTATATAAACTTAGCTACTCAATAACAAATGCATTATTACTTGATACAAAATTTTATGTAATTATTTAGTATATAATAATAGGGGCAAGATACACTTACTACCAAAAATTTTACCGTATTTACAACCAATTTAGTCACCGTTGATTTCCGTCAATCTAATAGTTATAATTTATTAAGAATTAATAATTAATTAATAAGTACAACCCAATAATTTTCAAATAAGTATAACCGTTAGATTGACGTAAATTAACGGTGATTAAGTTAGTTGTAAAGATAGTAAATTATTTTGATGATAAATATATCTTTCTTCTATAATAATAATAATGTTTATTATTTACTAGTTTAGTCTATTCAATTTATGTAGAACTTTGCCCACAAAAATATTTCTATTTCTCCAGCGTCACGGGCCAACCATATGATATGCTATTTCTCGTACAAATCAACCTCATTTGATGGTCCAGAACACTCCACACCAGATGATAAGAGACCAGAAACCAAGAAAAAAAATATTAAAAACAAAAATAAGTGTTTGGTGATCAATACAACGTGCATTGCATCTGTGCCACGTTTATGTTCCAACTTTTTATTTAATTTTGATATGCCACCCTTTTCTTTCGTTTTGTTGATTTACTCTTTCAATCAAAATTCATTCTTACGGGAATATCATTTGATGGAGGAAAAAAATTTTTATGCCTGAGAATCACAATTATCATGAATATATTGGGAGATTAAATTTCTTGCAAATGGGAGAAAAAAATTGTTTGATAAGGCAAAAAAATTATCAAGAATGCTGAGAAAGTGAATTGTCTTAACCAATATTGTAAAAATCGGAACGGACTGACCGGGTCGACCCAGAATCCGGTGAACCAGTCATCTGATCGGTTCGATTAGCACAATAGATCGGCCAAGCATCAGACCTGATACGACTCGGTGTGATCCGGCCGATTTTGGTGAAAACTGGCGACTCTGACAGTTAATCGGCCCGAGTTTTTAAAAAAAAATTATTTTCAAAAAAAAAATCATAATTGACATATTTGAGTGAGCTGTTACTTATTGACATACATAAATTATGTACCTACAATACTAATATTATCTCAATATGCACTATATAAGGAATTTTGATTTGATTTATAATCAGATATGTCATTTACTGAACCTGAAACACCAATATCACAAGCATTATATGTTTGTTTGATCCTTTATTGGACAATGATGTATAATTTATTATTTTTTATATTAAAATTTAGAATTTATATTATTTTTTTCAGCTATTTGAGTATATTTATATTTTAATATAAATTATATATTTGTATATAATCACCAATTGATGCGGTTGAACCAGTGACCCACTGGTTGAACCAATGACCCTATACCTCGATCGGATCATTGACCGGGCCGGTTTTAATAACATTAGTTTCAACTACACTACTGGCGCAATCACTAGCATAGGAAGAAGAAAGCAACAAAATTGACTTGGCAATAGCCTTCCCCACCACCGCACCACTAGCATGGGAAAAAGAAGGCGCAATATGGCTTGGCACTAGTGGTACCATCACCGCACCACTAGCACGAAGGTCAAAAATACTAGAAATCCAAGAATACCACTCCCGCATGGTATTCTACTATTCTTGGATGGCATTTTAACTTAAAAATTATTCGGAAATCAGAATCTTTGGGAAAATCAAATTCCCAGAAAATTTTTGTACCAAACGTGGATAAATAAGATTACCAATCTCAGTTTCCCAAGAATCCAAAAAATTTCCTTGCATCAAAGCCCCCTTAAGGTAATGTTTGGTTCAGGTTTTTGGTTCAGATCCCCATCTATCTGAGTTTGGTATTGTATGTTGTCTTTGTTTGGTAGAAGAAATACAAAAATTTACCTAGTCAACTCTGTTGCCCAGCCTTTCAAGTTCGTATGGAAAAAAGGAAACAAAACCCTATTCAACTTTACCATTTGCAACGTAAAATTTGCATAAAATCGAGTAAGCGAGAAAAAGTTTACGAAATTTGTGACAAAATTACCCTCTTGTGACTACATCTGCTTTATCAAACTCGTGGGTTGCAGAAGACATGGCCAAAAGTTGAATAAGCAAGTGGTTTTCGATCTGTTAGTTTTACTGAAGCAAATGATTTTCAAACGATTCTCAAACCGAAGCAAACGATTCTTCTGCACACAAACCTTGCAATCAGATTCGTCCACTGTCAACTGACTTAGACATGAAAGATTCCTACATCTTAAGTTCAGAAAAACTTGAGCTAAATCAGAAGATGAAATGTTGTTGTCTATGTGAATAAAATGAGTTAAACCGATTTTTAAAGCAACTAAAATTTCCAGTTGCACTCGGTGGCACTTTAGTAGGTTATCCAAGGTTATATTAGACCTGTTCTGCAGAACTTTTTGAAAAGCAAGTATCTGCCCATGCTTATGTGCATTGAGCATGATTTCTCGAATACCCTCCTTCAGACATGTTATGGATTATCCGGCCATTTCATGGAACTTTCTTGACATTGCATGCACAAGGTCAGAAACTATTCTTGCAATGATTGTCTCAACAAAAAGAACACCATCCATCAGAAGTCGTGGAATAATATGCAGCTCCTGAAATAACTTTTGCTTGCCATCGGTACAACTGGACGAATGAGGTTAGAATGCAGTTGTGGAGGCTTAGCCTGAATGAAGTTAAAATTTTAAGTATACGGGTTATTTTTGTCATTTTGACCCATTTACCCATTATTAGTTTACCTTCAACCAAACAAATACTTACAAAAGTTAACCCAATTCGCGACCCATTTACCCATCATTATTTTACCTTCAACCAAACAAAGACTTACAAAAGTTAACCCAATTCGCCTGGTAAAAATTTAGTCAACCAAACAACTTTTTTTTAACTTTCTTACCAAACTCACTTTTCTACCATATTCTTGGTAATTGCATTTACGTAGTAAAAAAAAATATCTCCTCTACCAAACGTCTCCTTAATGATAATGAATCCCGGGTCCTGAACATTTCCATTCATCTTGTCATCTTCACACTAATGTGAACAAAAATTAAAAGAATCAACTGCTGGAAGAGACCAATATATATTTGATTATGGAAGATGTCATGTCCTATTAATAATATAACATTTACAACAAGCTTCCTGAATTACATTGTAAACTCAAAACCGAGTGAAAAAATTAACAAAAGTAACTATTCACTTATAACATCCACAGAATAAATAAGTATGATGACATCAAAATTATTACTCACAAGCCAGTTTAGTGCCAAAGCTAGTCAAGCAAATGGCAAAAGCCTGAAAGGCAGATAAGGGTTGTCTATAATCCATGGTAAAAGTATCATCCCCTACTTTACCAAACTGGAGGAGAACTGTTTCCTCATCTCCTTTTCCTCCTGGTTGGCTTGGATCCACAGTAGCAACCAGCTGAAAGTTCTTCACTGATGCCACTGTCACACGACCATGGAAATTCAAGCACCAGCATTGCAAATGCTCATGCCACCTTGGAGCTTTATTCTTCAAGATAGTGTAGCCAAAAGCAGCAAGTTCTCTACTATGCATTTTATGGCCATCCAGAGATATGCTATCTGAACTTTCACTCGTTGTTGAGACAGGAGATTTCAGTGAGCAAACCATCCTCCTTGGCCCTCTTGATTTCAAAAGGTTGAACTTGTAGGAGACCTGCCCCACCTCAAAGTTACCTGCAGGAACTTGAGGGCTTATCTGCTTGCTGGCAAAACGACGGCTAGCCCTGCCACTTGATGGTTTTGCACCACTATGGGGCGGCTGGCTGTCATATATTGTGAAGTTGGTGCCAAGAAAATCCGAGCTGTGAATAGATTTCAGCAACTAGGCGGTCAATACTCAAGAGAAGCAAAACATTGACCATACATTCAATAAGTAGTTTATCCTTTGTTTAAAAAATATAAATTAAATGAGACAAACAAACTCCAAGCTATGAACAGATTTCTATATAGGTGTAAATACTTTCACCAAAAAAAATGACGAACATTTACAATAAGTGTTTTTGTCTAGATGAGACTAAGAGGATTTAAAAGAATAGGATTTGAATCATTTTGTTCCGCTTTGGATGTAAATAGAGGACACGGTAATTCGCAGAAGTTACATATAAGACAAACAAACAAACTGCAAATTAAAATCATTTGCAACGGTTTCAATTTTTAAAAGCCAATCAAGTTTGCTCCTGGATCTTTTTTGGTGCAGTTTTGATCTTAAAAACAACATCATGATAAACTTGTTTGCACCCTTGCTTCTACCACAAATGGTATTGAATGACTGTTAAACAAAAGCAAATAGAACTATTTTCCCTTTCTGCCATGTACAAAGGTGTGATTTAGAGCGGTGGTCTTTATTTGTTTTTATTTCCTTTTAATATTTATGGGTGTTTTTCCTATTCCTTTTTATGGATAATTTTTCTCATCAGACAGTTTCAGTATTGAGCTGTATCAAAGTTCCAATTCTTAGCAAGGCTACCACAAAAGAGAAAATAAAAGGTTAAGTTTAACAGTAAAGGTAAACCAAAGCATTTTGAAAACACAAAATATTTGTAGTAAAAGGTGAAGGGTGGCTGTATCCTTCGAGTACTAGACCTCACCACTCAAGAAAAAGAGTAAAAAGAAACAGATGAAGAAGAAGAAACACAGATGAAACATTTATATTTCTTTTTTAGAAGGGGATAATTTTTGTTTCTGTGACAAGAAAGCTTTACCTTAACTTTCCAACATAAGCATTGCTTCCTTGGGATAAGTCGTCAGCATCGAGTGATATTATATACTCAGTATGGGTACCACACCTATATCTCCTAGCTGCTAACAGGAACTTCCCTTTATCTGTGAATGCTGGCGATGGGTGGAGGAGTGAAGAGAGGGGAAGAAAGAAATGCATTAAATTTCCAGCACATCCATGAAAATGCTAAAGAGAGAAATCACAAGTTGTACACTATCATCAAGATTATATTTCTGGAAATATTGAGAAAAATAAGCCTTGGAAAGTCATCATTTTAATAGTTAATCATTGCTACCATTAACTACTCTACAAATTACATTGACTTATTACAACACATCATAATATTCTGAATTTACTAATGGTTTAAAGTCTCACAGATCTTTCAACCAATTGAAGATTCAAAATTTCACCTCCACCACACATATCTTTAGAGTAAATAACGTTGCTAGCAATAATTGGAGTTCTATAGCTACTGTTTGATTTCCCATGTGACAACCCCATGACTGTTCCTACAAAGTGATATGATATCCATTATACTACAGGCAGCTAAACAATTTCTAGCATGTATTACAATCAACCATATCCTAGAGACCTTCTCACCATAGGTCTACTTCAGCAATCAAACAGAAAATTAATTTTAATACCTATAAATAAATTACTAACAAATATGAAATTTACCAGATTAACATAAGAACCATTTGAAGTTCTTTCTCAGAAGCAAAACCAACAAGCTCTTTGTAACCTTAAGAAATTTAAGATGCTGCAAGACCAACATTTTAGAATTAAGCAACTATGGACACCATGCATTAATGCAAAGTAATCTATGAAACTCCCAACATATGTATTCAAGCTGCTTTGAATACGTTCTACTCTTTAATTACTACTGGTCCCTTCCTGAGAAATGAAAGCTCACCAAAGAAGGCCTTTTGTGAGGTTACTTTAGCCTCCCATGAAACCCCTCCCTTAAATGTTCATGAAATTTCTTCTTTAATTATATTAGAAAGAAATAATCAAATGTCCATATTTCCCAAATTACACTTCCACAAGTCTTACATGATATATCCTTCCACTTCTATCTCTGAAAAAACACCTTCAATTAATGTTCATAAACATAACATAATATCTAAAGAATTCAACTCATTTTTGTTTCTCTTTTCTCACTTTGGGGAATCAAACTATTTAAGATGAGTAAATTGAACGAGGAAGGTTCTGTAAATTGACTAAAGGAAGTCACCTTAGACTGGGTCTGGTCAACCATGTGGCTAGTCATGTAGCTTCACAAATATTTTTTGTTTACATATATAAATAAATATCAATGAGTCACTTTAAACGTTGACAAAGACAAACTACAAAACCCTTCAAACTTTTGGGGTTTTAATACCCAAAAGTAAAGCATGTCTAGTCAAACAAGAAAGCCTTGAGTTATATGTTTGACGAATAAGTTGGTGCCCAGATCTAGTCTATACACATACATCATTCGACTCTATATTGTCAACACACTATCCATAGGAAGAGCACAGGAGATCATTCAACTCCGGCCATGATTCATTTTCATACATCTCTATAACAGGCAAAAAAAGCCTTTTAACCAATACAATACTTACTTACATGGTGTAAGGGCAAGATAGAGGTAAAACGTTGAGGTCTTCTTGTTCCGCTTTATAAGACATTGGTGGGGAACGTCACGTGGTCCTGGCTGCAAGTCATCAAAACATAACAAGATTGTCAAACTCCAAGCTTCCTAAATTCAAATGACTTGTTCAATACGACAAACAAACAATAAATAGCCATCAATAGAACAAAATGCTCATCAAGATTACAATGAAATCATCACAAGAAATTTAAACATTCATCACACTAAAATCCAATCTATTATAGAATAAAGCATTGCAGAGATAAAATCGCGTACATAAGCAAGAGCTAAACAGCAGCAATAGAGCTAAAACACATTTATCTGCTAAAAATTAGATGAAACTCCATCCACCTACGGGTGCACTGCAAACATGACGACTACTGGCATCTGAAAAATCCCCTCACAAAATGGATCAGTATTTCCAACTCTTCCATCTTTTCCACTTCACACAGATAAAACTGCAATAAAACTAATAACACCCACTTACCCAGAAACCTCAATTACCGGATTAAAACCTTAAGATACTTACACTGCAGTTCGCCAACCTGAATCAAAGGCACCACACAATTACAGCCATGGCTTATGCAAAGATCCCAAATCACTGCTGACCCTCACAACAAAATGTTATTCACCAAATTCACCAATAAAGCATTTACTACCTAAACTGATTGAACCATTCAACCATGTCATAAATAACCAAAATTTCAATTCAACAAATTTTAAAATATAATAATTTAAGAGAATAACAAGGGCTCCAATAATGACCAACAAAACATTTATTAAAAAAAAAAAAAAACCTAATTTTTTTTTTAAAAAGAAGACCACAAAGTACTCAACTTTTTTTCCTGGGGTATATATTAATCAAGCCACACGCATCAGTCAAAAAGCTAATTCGGGGAAAAATTAAAAAAAAAAGTGCCCCCAAAAAAAAAAAGAAAAAAAAAAAGGAACGGTTTTTGAAGCAGAACCTGTTTAAGGCACGAAGGGAAAGTGATTTTTCCGTTGTGAGACGGTGATTTTACGATCTCACGCGTCATGTCCCTCCAACGCTTACAAACGCAGGCGCAAGCGACGACGTTTTGCCGGTGAGGCCACTGTTCCTCGGTGGCGTCCACTCTGCGTATGATCTCTCCGAGAAGCTCCGGTAGCATGTTTGACCACGCATTGCCGTGAGCCGATTCTTCGCCGGCGGCGGCATCGAAGGAACGAACTTCCTTGAAGGATCTGGAGAATTTGCGAGAGCGAAAGACCTTCCTCAGAGACATGGCTAATGGTTAGGGCTATTGCACTCTCATAAGAGAGAGAGAGAGAGAGAGAAACACCAAAGAAGAAGAAGAAGAAGAATGAAGAGAGAGAGAGAGAGAGAGAGTGATTTACAGAGAGAAACTTAACGAGTGAGAATAAAAGGGAAATGGGTGCAATGATAAAGTGACGTGCGGGTGAGGGGAATGTGAGAGGAAGAGGGTTGTGGCGCGCCGAATGACAGGCTCGTGAGGTTAGCGAGTGAAGGTTGAAAAAAAAAAAAAAAAAAGTGTTGGCTTGTGCCTGTTGTTGAATGTTGTTGTGATTTGACCTGGTCTACGCTGTATTTACCCTTTTCTTAACTCCTCCTCTGTTTTTCTTATTTTTATTTATTTTTATTTTCCTTGTCATTTTGACTCTTAATACAACTTGTCATCTATCACCCCAAAAAAAAAAAGTTGTCATCAACTCATCATGTTGAAATAGCAAATTACAGTATTTTTTTTTTTTATAAAAAAAAGTTTATATTATAATTAAACTAAACAAGGAGTGAAGGATAATTCAAGTGTAAATTTACCTGATCACCCTTTTTTCTGAACTAAAGTTTAAGAACACGAGAGGTTGCTTCATTTCATGACCAAAGCATGTCATAAGCCTTATTAGATTATTATTATTATTATTATTATTAGTCATGCCAAGCATAATTAAATAAAGTTCATATAAGATCAAGTAAATTTTGAAAACTATAACTATAAATCTCCGGTTATTTGACCATTTTGTCTCTTATTAATTAATTAATAATCATTTTGTCCATTACACATAATTATTTACTAATATGTTCATCTTTAATCGATTAACTTGAAGATTTAATCGATTAAATGGTCAAATCTGAAAAAAATAGTTGACTTGAAGATTTAATCGATTAAATCTTCAAGTTAATCGATTAAATCTCCCTCTTAATTTATTTAATCGATTAAAGCTTATATTTAATCGATTAAATATCCCAAATTAGTGTGAAAACTTTGATACCAACTCGTAAAATGACAACTCTTAATAAAACACAATAAGTTCTTATTAAATACAAAACACAATCAACTCTTATTATTAAATACAAAACACAATCAGCTCCTATTAAATACAAAATACAATCACCTCCTATCAAATACAAAACGCAATCAGCTCCTATTAAATACAAAATGCAATCAGCTCCAATTAATTACAAATCGCAATCAACTCCTATTACATTAAATTCAAAATTCAAAATTCAAATAACATCCAATACACGGAAAATTGATTGAAGATTTTGCTAAGTATTACATTAAATTCAAGATTTGCAATCAACTCCTTTTGTTTACGAAAGAGATTTGACCTTTGTTGCCTCTTGTGATTTGATAGGAGCTGATTGCGTTTTGTATTTAATTGGAGCTGATTGTGTTTTGTATTTAATAATAAGAGTTGATTGTGTTTTGTATTTAATAAGAGCTGATGTGTTTTATTAATTTTGCCATTTTACGAGTTGGTATCAATGCTTTCACGCTAATTTGGGATATTTAATCGATTAAATATAAGTTTTATTCGATTAAATAAATTAAGATGAAGATTTAATCGATTAAATCTTCAAGTCAACCATTTTTTTCAGATTTAACCATTTAATCGATTAAATCTTCAAGTTAATCGATTAAAAAGTGGCAGATTGGTAGATAGTTTTGAATAAAGGACAAAATGATTATTAATTAATTAATAAAGGGCAAAAGAGTCAAAAAAAAAAAACCATAAATTTCCTATGCATTGCAATGTTTTTTTTTAAATATATATTTACGTGAAACATTTATAAGAACACATGTAAATTAGTGATATAAAAACTCGTATTTAAATTTTAATTATTTATTTTATTTATCTGTGATATATTTTCATTCTGTCCATGTGGTGGTATACGAAATAATTATGGTAAAACTGAAGCGTACAGATGGAAAACTCACAGAAAAAAAAAAAATTGTTTAACAGAAAAAATAAAAATCAATAAAAGACAATTATACCTAAACAGAAGGGCACTGATGCAAAACGCGGTTCTAACAAGTCAACACGACAACCAGAATAATATTAAAAAAAGAAAAATAAAACAAACTCATTCGGAAATTGCCAGCTATATATTTCACTTTTCTCTCGTACAAACAATTCCATTCGACCATTCCAATTCCAACAATCTCTCTATTTTCATTTCACTTCCACTTTCTTTTCTCTCATTTTCCTTGGAGAAATTAAAATCTGAGAGAAAAGTGAAGAGGGTGTTTGGCTTTTGAGTTCATAGCAATATATAATATAACACAGAGAACAAAATGGTGAAGTTCGTGGGGATTCTTGACCAAGGGATGAGGATTGTCGCAAGGTTTCATTCCAACTGCCCCCAAACAGGGCGTAAGTTTTACCACCCTCCGCCGGTCTCCGACAACAACGGCCACGACTCTCGCAGCGGAACCACCGTGGGCGGTGGCGGTGTCAAAGCTGGTGGGAACATTGATATAATTCTTTATTCTGTTTGACATGTAACAAGATTTATTTATTTGTTTGTTTGTTTTTGCTTATTCGATTAGATTGATTATTAGCAAAGTTTTTGCTATCAAGTTTTATTATAATCTATAACAACTCCTTATGAGATGTGGTAGATCTTTTATTCCCTTCATTAGTGGTTAGTTATAAAGGGGATTTTCACACTTTACATAGTCAATACAAATTATACAATAGTTTCTTCTTCTACTTCTTTTTCTAGTCAATACAATAGTTATTACGCAGGAATCCAATTCTCATTCCTTGATGTTAGACAAAATTCCATGTTTTAATTAGTTTGTTTAGCTGAAGTTGTTTAAAATTTAAACCTTCTCCATTTATAATCATATAAGAAAAGCTCCTAAAATCAAACCAAGTTAATCTAAGCCTTTAAAAATAATGGGGGCAGCGAGGTTCGAACTCGGGACATCAATACTTTGATACTATGTAAAGAACTAATTCAATTCAATAGCTTAAGTTGTTAGATGTGGCTACATTAATAATTTTATATATCTTTAACAAAGTCAAATTTTCAATGAAGTAACAGATATGTTGAATGTGAACATCGACTCTAACTCCGTCTACATTCCAAGTTGTTACATGGTAGAGTCTTTAAACATATCTATAGAATTTGGGCACTTATGTAAACAAAGTTAGTTTAATGAATCTTATGAAAGAACTTTTGGATATATTAATAATATAATCTAATAGTATGTTCACATATAAGCCCAATAGGTGAAAGCATGGTTATTTGGGTCCATATGGGCTGGAGCCCAATAGCTTACATTATCTCTAGGGTTTCCTAAGCAGGAGGTAACACTGTTGAGCATTCCAAACTTGAGACTTGGGATGTATTGCTTATGTAAGAATACAAGATCCTAAGAGACCTAAGGTGGGACCTAGAACCATTACTTGCGTATATCTAGGAAGTGCAGAAGACAGTGATGCAAATAGGTTTTTGGATCTATCTACAAATGCGGTGATAGAATCCAGAGATGCAGAATTCTTTGAGAATAAGTTTATCAAAGATCATGGCTTAAGTGTTTCTGGATCTACATATATGATTTTAGAATCTCCTATAGAATTTGAAGTAAGCCCTTCTGACACTTACCCCTCACAACTGGCTATTGAATCAATTCCAGTTAGAGTATTTATGAGAGAGAGTTCACAAAGACTTTGTCGAGGACTTTGTCACTTACCATCTAGAGGATGATCCATTCTCCTATCAGGAAGCAATGAGATCTAGGGAATATCTACTGTGGGCAGAAGCCATATATGATGAAATGAGTTCTTTGCTGCATAATCATACTTGACAGCTAGTCAATTTGGCGAAAGGGGCTAAGGCTATAGGTTGTAAGTTGGTAGTGAAGAAGAAACTGAATAGTGATGGATCGATAGCCAGATACAAAGCACATTTAGTAGCTAAAGACTATAGACAACAAAGTGAAGTAGACTATTTTGGTGTCGACTCACCTGTGTGTTATCTATCAACTATAAGAATTCTTCTTGCTTTGACATCTATTGAACACTATGTAGTGCATGAAATGGATGTAAAGACAACTAGTGGATGTCATGTTAATTATTGGTTTTGATCATTTTGTAGTGAGTAACATGAAAGCTAATTTAGTTAAAGAATTTGACATGAAAGATCTTGGTATTGCTAATATCATTCTTGGTATAAAAGTAAGCTTTGATAGGCAAGTTATCGCCCTTAGCCAGACTCATTATATTGAGCAGCTACTTTCTACCTGGGGATACAGTGAGTGCAAACTGAGTGAGACACCATGTGATTATAATAAAAGACTGAGTCCTCATAAAGGGACCAGTGTGGATCAGTTAAAGTATTCAAAACTGATTGGTAGTCTCATATATGCTGCAAGTTGCATTAGACCTGACATAGCCTTTACAGTTGGCATGTTGAGTCGTTTCACTAGTAATCCTAGTAAAGAGCATTGGGATGCCCTCGATAGGCTGATGCGATATATTAAAGGTACTAAAGATTATGCTCTACACTACTCTGGTTATCCTTCAATTGTGGATTAATATTCTGATATGTCATGGTGTTCAGAAATCAGAAATAATAAGTTCACCAGTGGATATGTATTCACTTTGGGTGGAGCTCCTATTGCTTAGAAATCCAAAAGATAGACTTGTATTGCATTGTCGTCTATGGAATCAGAACTTTTTGCTTTAGCCTTAGCCGGCCAAGAGGAAAAGTGGATAAAGAATCTGATTATGGATATTCCCTTGACTCGGCTAAAGATTAATTCTTTAAGCCTATTTTATGATAATCAAGCAACTGTCCAAGTTGTTAAAAATGCTCTCTTTAATTCAAAAAGAAGACATATAAGATTGAGACATGCGTTGTTGAATTACCTGAGAAAACAAGGAATTATCACCTTGATCGATGTGAGATCGAAGGATAACTTGGCTGATGCTCTCATAAAAGATATGCTTAAAGATCGATTATTGAAAATAGTGGGGGAAGTAGGGTTAAAGACTATATAAACAAGTCTTAATTACCATTTACTTACCTTTTAATTATGTGTTTTGAATTAT